CACACGACACACACTTAGCACAGCTGCACATCCTACTTGACTTTCTACCGCAAACCGAACCATTTATCCGGACCGCCCCGATGCGTGCGTGGACCTCTGTCCGGCTGTCTGTCTGTCTGTCTGACTGTGAGTATGTCTGTCTACCCGTCTGTGCGTCTGTCCCTGTCACTCTCACTCTCTCACTATCGCGCGTTTTTCGGCACCCACCCAACTCGTCGTTGGTTCCCCATATATGTTTACATAATTATGCTGCTCTCGTCATTCTGATCGCATATATGCAAATCTTCTAGTTAGAACGATTAATTCTCTCAGGTTTGGTCGGAAAAAACAGATACTATGTAGCCTAAGTGAGAGAAACTAAAGAGAGGGAGAGGGGGGGGGGGAGAGGGAGAGAGAGAGAGCAGTAGTATGGTGTATAATAACCGTTTATCGTGTTGGGTTGATGCTTGCGGAGCAGTGGTCCGGGTCTCGCACTTTCACGCGTGAGGGTGTCGCCGGCGTGCGTGAGACAGCCGGACCTGGAGGGGGGGGGCATGCCGGTCTGCAGACAGACGGACGGACACCGGTAGCCGATCGCGGAAGGGCAGGAGCGAGACAAAAGCCGCCACCACCACCACCTACAGCAGCGCGACACTCACAGTCCCACAGAGGAGCTCTGCGATTGCCATCGACCGGAAACGAGAAACATCCTGCAGCCGCGTACTCTGCGCAAGCGCTTGTTCGTGTCTCGAATGATATCGCTAGGGAACACTAAAGACTGCATTTGAAACTAAGTTTTATTTTAAAGTGTGCAAAATGATTGTTATAACTTGGTAGGAACACGCGTTCACATATGTAAAAGCACATAAACGTGAATGAAAAACGCCTCTCTAGGCTGACCATCCAACGGATCCCTCGTACCCCGTTGACGTTTGCGGGCGGGGCGAGGCGATGTGGAGCGGCCGCCCTGCTGGGACCAACGCACAGTGTGTCTTACAGAGAAAGTCCAGCAGCCACCGCAACCGCCACAGGGCTCACCGGGGCTTCCGTCTCCTGCGTGTCATACGAGGGGCAAAGCCTCAAATAACTGTAGTTATAACAGGGAAGGTGGATTTTTAAAAAATGCTCCTGATTTGAAAAAAAATGTGTTTCTCTTTTTGCGTTGTAGAGTTGGGGTCTTCCCCCGCGGCGCTTGCCATGCCTGTTCCTCACATCGGGGAACTTTTCGCTGCCAGCCTCACCCCGCCCCACCCCACCCCACCCGCCCCACCTTGCCCCACCCATCTCCGCGGCGCCGCGGCGCGGTTCCTTCCTATCCACCAGATTAACTGCAATTGCAGGGAAAGTGATCATTCTATCCGCGCAATGCCTCGGTCGGGCCGGCTGGCCGCAAGGCCAAGGACCTAGAGCCTCAGCCTCCTTGCAGGGACTGGCGGGGAGGATTCTTTCTCCGCTCGGTCAAGGACTCCGGCAGACATAGACCACGTGGCCAAAGTCATCGCGGGTTGTTTCGATTTCAAGACGCGTGAAATAATTCATCCCTGAGCTAACAAGCATCTGCCAGTACTTTTGATGTGGCTTATTTGGGCAAGATGTTGACAAGAAAAAGCGCCACTCACTATCATCCTAAGATCTTAAATGACCTGTGAGGGTGCTACGCTTACTCAATTTTCAATAAGTTTGTTATTTTTTAAAATTCTGATTTGAGCGTATCGTCCTGTTCAATTTACCATGGTTAATCACGTTTGCAAACGTTGACTTCTTCCAGAAAACTCACTATATTTTGCGAGCCGCACAACATTCCGCCGCGGGTAGGAAAACAATCTCCTCTAAATGAACGACGACGCGACGCTACACTGATGGCATCGAGATCGTTTTGTCCGTTATCAGTAGCTGGCATCAGAGGGGCCACACGCCGAGCCCGCAAACACGAGCGCGCGCGCTCACACACACACACATACACACACTCACACACACGGCACAATAAAAGGAGAGATGGGATATGGACGTGATATGCAACACATGACTCGGCGCCGATCGAGACAGAGTTGTCAATCACCGTTGTATTGTTCCGCCCGAAGGAGTGTGTGTGTTTTGAAGACTTGCGAGCACGAGAGAGAGGTAGAGATAGGACGAGGGAGAGAGGGAGAGACAGAGAGAGAGAGAGAGAGATAGAGAGATGGGTGGGTGTGGTTGGTGATGAACCTGTCCTTATGGAGCTGTCCGGACGTCACAGGCGCCCAGGTCCGCTACCCACAATGCCTTGCGGAGATGCGCGCGTCGGCTCCGCAAAATGACTTAGGCACTGGCTGTGCTGGCTATCGCGTAACAAACTGCGGTTGCAAAAAAAATAAATAAAAATAATAAAAATAAATATGCACAGCAATTTTTTTTCTCTTCTTTGACTTATTCTGCAAGCCTCCCTCCCCCTCCCCCTACCTTTTCCGTCCACTTTCCTCCACCCCAACGCGGATTTATTTAAAGGCAGTCTCCCACTGTACCGACCGTGTGATCTTCGGTAGAAGACGTCGGCATGTGCGAGCTTAGTCTTCGGCCTGTTCCCAAACAGTACATTTGGTACAACACATTAAAGGGTGTGTGTGCTTGCCATAGTACAACAACACACTTACATGTGTGTACTTTGGTTAGTAATGTTGTGCAATTACCAAAGTACGCAGTTGGGATTGCAGGATGGGCAAAGCCCGCAAACGCCGACACCTCTCCCTCTCTCTGTTACACCCGCGGTCCGCGGTCCCTGTACGTGACTTTTGCGACGTCACCCTGGCATGAGCGACAAGAAAACCTGCTCGCCTGTTGACGCTGCTCAAGCAGTGACGCGCCCCGGCAGATCGCGTGAGAGACCATTGACGTGCCGCCGCCGGCTACCTGCTGCTGGCCCACCGCCGCCGCCGCGGACCTGCCGCGCTCGCCGCCTTCACCGCGCGGCTCGGGCTTGGGCTCGGGGACGAAGGGATCGTTAGCCGAGAGCGAGCATCAGGGATCCTGAGGCGGCGGCGGTCGCAGCGAAGTAGAAGAGCCTCCTCCTCCTCCTCAATACGAATCGCGGGGCGCGGGCGGCCCGGTTCAGTTAGCGCGGCCATTGTCATGTGCGGGAGCGAGCGCGGCGCGGCCTGCTGCACGTGCACAGCACGTACGCGAGATCGACTTCCAGGAACGCGAAGAGCAGCGCACTTATTGTGCACTTGTCACCACTGACGTCGTTCCGGCGTCATGGACGGCGAGGCCGACGAAAATCTAAAGAAGCTGGGGGAAAAAAAGCAAGATTCAACCCACGTCTATTTTCGGAGCACCATTCACACGGTTATTTTGTTTATATTCCGCGCCGAAAAACATTTTTGTAACAGAAATAATAAAGTAACAAATCACTCGTTCTCGTCGAGGGGGCAATAACTCCCTTTTGAAGTGTACACATGATTCCCGAAATTCTTGATTCCCGGTGATTCCCGTCCGCTTATAATTATTACACTGGTTTTTCGGGGGGTTTTAGTGGTATAAAACGCTTATTGCGACTGATTTGTACTTATTTCTCTAGTTTCCCGCTTATTCTAAGCGATTTCTATTGATTTTGATCAATTGTTATCCTGATGATTCCCAGACAGGTGTACACATGATTCCCGGAGTTATTTCCCCCTCGGTTCTCGCGAGGGGGTAATCACTACAGAAAGTAGGTGTACACATTTGTATAAAAGTTAAAGTGAAAGTGAAAAAAAAACTGACTGAAAGTGAAACAAACGTGAAGGAAATGTGGGCCAAAGTGACAAATCGTGTGTTGATCAGATCGAAAATGAATAAAATACAGTTGATATGGGCATAAAAATGAAGTAAACGTTGTAAAACTATGGGAAACTGAAGGGAAAATTACGAAAAGTGATTGAAAGTAGGAAAGTGAAAAGTTCAGGTGTACGCATTTTCTTAGAGTGATTACCCCCTCGGGTTCTCGTATATTATGGCCCCGCCTCCCTTTAAGCCCGCTCTAACTGCTTTGAAAAGGTAAAAATAAAGTGTGCTTATGATGCAATCATGCTGCCTTTGTTATTAAAAACGTAGGCGCACCAACTACGCAAATGTATTTTTCGCAGGGTAAACTCTAAAGCATCAGTCATGAGCACCAGCCCGGCGGCTCCGCCCCCTTCACAGATAGCCCCATGGCGTGCGCAGGTGTGCTTTTGACAGCCACTTTGGGAAAGCAGACTTCGTTCTGGCTAATCAGGCATAGGCATAGGCATACGGGCCGCGTCACGGGGAGGCGGGGCGGCGCGCGGCGCGGTGGATTGGCCTGGCTCACGTATGGCTGTCCCGCCCTGCTCATGTCGCAGAACTCGTGGCTTAAGCCCCACATGTTCCGGGTGGTCCTTTCACTGCAACGCGATGGATCGCCACGAGTTTCATACGTCGTCTAGCCTACTGGAAGGGAAGAGTAAAGCTGAAAAGGGCCTTTTCCCATAGGGAGTATGGGAAAGAAGAGAGATGAAGCCCACGAGAAGGGCGACTTGCGGGGGAAAGGGGAAACGAAGACGTTGTTTCAAGCTGATGAGGGCCGGGAATCGGAATGAACGTCTACGAATTAGCGGGACGCCAGGCGTGAGCAGAGGGAGGGAAACAGTTAATTGATTCACAGCAAAGCACTCCGGCCGCGCGCACTACCGGGGGAACCAGTTTCCCTGTGTGTATGCGAACTGCACCCCGCCCGCGAGCTGCATGAGTAGTAGCACTGCCTTCCGATTGCCTCTCTCCTTCTCCATCCCTCGCACGCGCGCGGGGGCCCCGCCAGCAGCAGCAGCTAACACGGTGAATAAGCTTGATCCCTCAGAGCCCTTGTGACGGACGGGCGAGAGAAGGCAGGGGCGTCCCAGAGGAACGTGTTGAATACTAACACGGCGCAGCCCTAACAGCACGAGTTTGACGTGTGGAGTTCCCTTTGATAACCCGGCGAACGTGATGGGAAGTAAGGCGCCCCCAGCCCACCCCGCCCCGCCCCACCCCGCCGCATCACTGAGGCCCCAATGATGAATGACCGCACACGCCAAACAGAGCGGACGTGCCAATTTACCACGGGGCCATCCACGGCACGACGCCACAAGCCCATACAGACGTTTTCGCGAAACGTTTTACCGAACTTACATTATTACTCCTAGCAGTATTTGAAATAAAAGTGCGCAAAAAACAACGACTTGATTATCTGTTTATAGTTGTAAGAGTAAACTTCTCTTCACAAACTCTATCCCCCACTGCTCCTGCCCCCCATCTTTTTGCCCTTTGTGTGAAAGACGAGCCGATCTCGTATAGAGAGCGGGGCGGGCGTGTGAT